AGGAGCGAAGTTGGGTCTAGGGAAGGACTATTTTGAAATCTTCACTGGCTTTTCTGGTTACCGAGTTAGCAATTTTCCCGCCAGAATTTTCACATGCCCTCACCTGGGTATCCCACGTGCCTGGAAAGCTGAATTTGAAATTTTTAAATTGTGCATGGACAAGGAAGATCACTCTAAAATTTCAGCCTCCCATCTTTTCTGGTTGCCGAGTTAGTAATTTTCCCGCAGAAACAAATCCCCGATGACGAGCATAATTTCTCGTTTATTTTTCCCATTTTTTTCCGATTTTCTACAGGCAAATTTTGGTGGAATTCGCTTCTCTTCGGCCACAGGCAACGAGCCTTTCGCCCCCTGCCACAGTGGCACAGGCAACAGTACTGCAAAAGCCCGGGTCTGCTCATAAATATTACTAAAATGTATTACAACCATCTATTCCTACTTTTTGCATAGTTCCAGGGTGGGATTGAAGGCTCTCTCTCTTCAAAACCCGTGGCCGGCTCCAGCAGTCTCACTCTCCCAACCCCCCGTTTTTTCGGCAGATGTTTTTCGCTAAAAGAATTGAGGCTGGCTACCACAACTGTCAGGAGACATCCCCTTATAACTCCAGCTTTCTAGCTTTCCCGGTTCCCGAGTTAGCGGTTTACCCATCAAAAACTTTCGTGGGCCCGTAATTGGGAACCACACGTGGGGAAGAGCGTCCATTTCGGTCCCAGGTCCGTACTGGATCGGCCTATGCCTTCGACGTTATTTTTTTGACTTCGCCCTCCTCCTTCCCCCTCATATTTTTCCCCAAAAAAGTTCACATTCGTGGAATCGCTTATCTCTTGCCTTCTTCACGGTTGGCCTTTTCGCAAACTGAAAGGAAGGCCAACTGCTTTGTTTTGCTTTCACATTTCAGGATGTTATAGAAATGGCTTGGCCATTATTCCGCACAGTCCCCTCTCGCGATGGCTACGCATACGAAGACAGCGTCCAGTGGATGATGATGATGTCTGATGCTGGCGAATTGCCAAAACCGAACTGTACGCACGGAGTGAAATGGATTATTGATGTAAGGCTGATTTTTCAGTTTTTATGCGTTTTTTGCAGCAATATATTTTTCTTCTATCCCAAATATCTTTTTTGGTTCTGTTGCAGGTTTTTGGGGATTGTGTGGATACAAATTTGAAATTGATCGGGTTCATCATCGGGTTTATATCATTGTTTCTATGGTTGCTGCCTCTGATCCCACAACTTGTGCAAAACTACCGAACCAAACGTTGTGACGGCCTTTCGATCTATTTCCTGTTCTTTTGGTATGCTTTTTTGGACAAGAAAATACTACTTCGCTTACGATTCTTGGATCCTTTCGGCGGTAAATTGATATAAACGGAAAACCAACAGCCCACTTATCCCAGGCTTTTAAGAAATTAGGCAACAAATTTGTATTTTTAGAAGGGGAAACAGAAGCAAAAAATCTGAAGAGGAAATGTTTCGGTCCATTAAAATGGCATATATACTTTGGGCCTGTCAGGCCTCTTTATTTGTTGCTTTTCAGGATAATAGGCGATAGCTGTAATATGGCTGGCGCAATGCTAACGAACCAACAGCCAATTCAAAA